TCCGTCACCAGCTGGCCTCGCAGCCCCTCATCTCCAACCTGCCGGAGCAGGTGAATCCTGCACAGGAGACCGAACCATCCCAGTGGCATGGCCCTTGCTGGCTTCAGCACAGCCTAGCAGAGCCATTCAGAAATCCACCCGACAGTGCGGGTCACTAGCTCTCCGGGCGGGGCGCTTCCCGGAACTACACCATTAACCAGGATGATTTCTGAAAAGCCATTTCTCACCCACACTTAAGTCCTTGTATTCTTGCAACGTGGCCCGTCTGGCGAGGCTCTGCTCCAGAGCTGCCACCTGAGCTCCTGGCGCACGCAGGCTCAATCCCCCCATTTGTATCCATCTGCAGAAGGGCGGATTTCAGGGCTGGGCCCTGTCAGTGAAAGAGGCAGGGAGCAATGGTGCAGGGGGCAAGATGCTGCCGTGGAGCTGCTGGAAAACGGTCTGCTTTACGGCAGAGAGGGGGGAACGCAACAATGGAGAGTCCAGAGGAGCAGCCACGATGGGGCCAGCAGGCGGCCAGAGCCCCTGCTGGGGGATTTGTAGGGCTGGTTGGAGAGGACTAAGGGGCTGCTGCCAGTTCTCATACCTGTTGAATTCTGGGAGCTTGTCAAGATCCAGCAGGGCTGAGTGGGTGGTGATTCTGCCCACATCAAACTCCGAGATGAGCTCCTCCAGCGTCCTGCCCATCTGATTCCCTGAAAAATAACCCACCAGTGGCCTCAGGCATTCGCTCCCACGGAGATCTAGTATCACGGCTGTCAGTGCGGCCCAGGACAGAGTGACACGGGAGGGTCCCTCCCCACCTGCTCGGTACCAGGGGACATGCTTACCCGAAAGGTAGAGCCCTAATGGCAGGCGTTTGGGCCGGGCCAGCCTCAGCCCGAGGACAGACTCCCCCACGTTTTCTACCATGCCCCAGCAACAGGCAGCACCCTGGGAGTTCCTGCTGGCTCCAATGGCTGACACTGAATGAAGCGTTTGAGAAGTGTCCTAACCTAACCTGGAATTTCCCCTTAACTCTGCCCCTGCCCATGCAGCAGTTGGCCAGGCAGCACCAGGGCAGGTACAGAGCCATTTCACGGCAGCACGGACCAGTTACAGCAGCCGAGGGGAACACACTGAATCAGAATGATCCTGTGCCCTCTAGGCACCAGCCAGCGTGGAGAGGCCCATGGGCTGCGTGGACCCAGGGACTTGTCCCTCTGGCTTTCTGCCTCTCTGCATAAAGAGAAATCCTCCCCATGGCCCAACAAGCAGCACATGTCTCGGGGCAGAACGTTTCATCCCTGGGAAGGGTTAACTCGCGGGGGGGGGTTCCGAGCCCAACGTCTCAGCAGGACCACGACGGTTTACGAGACCTGCGGAGAGTTGGGGAGGGAGCGACTGGCCCAGCTTCCCATGCACTCACAGGTTAAACAGGCGGGGAAAATCTTTAGTGTGCGTTTTAACTGCAAAGCTGGGACGGGACGACAGGGGAGGGATCACGTGAGGATTCCTGCTCTGTTCCCTCCCTCTGGGGCCCCTGCCGTTGGCCACTGTGGGCCGACCGGACCCTGGGCTGGATGGGCCTTTGGTCTAACTCCGTCTGGCTGTTCTGACGTTCTCAGTCAGAGAGCAGACGTGCCTCCAACAGTCCCCAGGGGAGCGCGGCCCTTGCTACACCTGCATCCAGCTCTTTCCATTTGACAGCAAAGCTGGTGCTGAACAGACAGAGCTGGGGACTGAAAACCTCTCCTGATGGAGATGCTCTGACATAGGCAGCAGGGTGGACTTTCCCCTGGCCATCCCCCATGCTCGGGAGGGCCCCTCCTGGGTTTGGGTTAATCTCCCTGATCCATTCCCTCTTTGCTGAGCCGGTCGCTGGGGGGTCACTAAGCTCAGGACCTCACCCCGCCAAGGGGCTTACAAAGCTCCTCAATAGCTGCACCATTCACTCCAACTCTTTCCACGCGCAGCAAACGTGTCAAGTAGCCAGACCTCGGGGCCGCTCCCCGTGCGTCAGGCCTGCCCCCAGTACCTGCAAATCCAGAGCCACAGTTGGTGATGATGTCCAGCAGGGCTTCCGGCAAGCAGCCGTCTTGAACAAAATGCCCCAGGAAAACGTCTCCCTGCCGTTTGGACAGTTTACTGCCATCCTTGTTCAGGAGCAGGGGAAGGTGGCCGAACCGCGGCGGGTCCCAGCCAAAGGCTCTGTAGAGAAGAAGGTGCTTGGATGTGGAAGTGAGCCACTCGGTCCCACGCAGAACGTGACTGATTCCCATGTGATGGTCATCCACCACGCTGGCCAGGTGATACGTGGGGAAGTCGTCCCCTTTTAGGATCACCGGGTCCCCTTCCACAGCAGCCACTTCGTGCTTGCTCCACCCATAGACCAGATCATGAAAGGGCTCGGCACCTTCCTTCAGCTGGAAACGGACCACGTAGTCAGAGCCCTGCGACAGCTTCTCAGCCACTTGCCTGGGGCTCAGGTGGCGGCACCTGTTGTCATAGCTGTGGGGAGAGGCGAGCAGGGGCAAACGTTCAGCTTTTCCCATTCTAGTCTGAGCCCCAGTCCTAAGCTCAGCTCGGGCAGCGAGTCTCCCGGGGCCGGGTCGAGCCACATCAGCTGCGTGGGGATGATTCCTGTCCACTTTCCTGCCTTGTGGGAAGGGTGGGGGGCTGGGAGGCTTGATCAGCTAGCATGCGTAATGCTCCTTAGCGACAGTACGGGGTAAAGACGTGATAAGCAGAGAGGCTTAGTTGGGCTAGAACCCAGAACTCTCCTCAACAACAAACATGTTTGGCGCTAAAGTGCCCCTGTGGCTAGGCAGGTGGTGCCTCAGAGCCAGAGTCCCCTTCACGCACAGTCCACAGGCAGCCCCCTACCGTGGTGTCTGTCGATTCCGTAGCGCTTCCTTCTTCAGCAGTTCCAGGCGCCGAGGGGTGCAAAAGCAGCGGTAGGCAGCGCCGCGCTCCAGAAGCGCCTCGCTGGCTTTCTTGTACAGCTCAAGTCTGCATGACTGCTGGTAGGGCCCGACCGGGCCTCCCTCGCGGGGGCTTTCATCAGGTGGGATTCCTGGAAAGCAGAGTTATGGGCCAAGGGGACAGCGC